CCCGTCACCATGTTGTGTGTACATGGCATGTGCCGCAGCAGCAGAGTTTTGGCCACATCCATCTGGAGTACCATCTGGCTAGGCCTGGCTCTCTGGTCCTCCTGGAGGTTCCATGGCTACCCTGTGTCCTTTAGTGAGCCTACTTTTAGGTTAAAATGGCCAAGGAGAGTCAGTTTCTGTGGCTAATAGAAAATTGGTGCCAGGAAGAGATCCTAAAATGTGAGCTAGTGGAGTGTGACCTAAAGTGTGACCTCATTGAGAAGCGACCAGAGTCTGTTACATGAGGAAGCTTTCAGCTGCAAGGGCCAGAAGGTCCTTGTAAAAGCACCTTAAGTCAGGAGAGGTTATGATCTCATGTGAAAAGGCACATGGGGCAGGTGGGTCCAGCATCAGGTAGAGGGCCCAAGGGCCTCAGTGTGTCACAGTCTCCCCCTAGGCTCCCCTAGGCTCGCATCACGCCTGTTTGAGCCTGAGGGTAGACAGGGCGATGTCCAGCAGAGAAGGGCAAGTCTCACCCTGTATGTGCCTTTGGTTAGGGTGGAGACCCTTTTTCATTACCCCTCAGTGGATGTCCTCACAGACCTCTTGACCAGCCTTGGTCATGCACTCATCCTTAAGCAGGTCACTGCAAGGAGCAATGAGTTGCCATGACAACCCAGACCACTCTTGTGTCACCCTCTCAGCTGAGAAGGGTCTTGCCTCTCCCGGGACCCTCCACCAGCAAGGAGGAGATGTGTATAATGGGAGTGAGGGGCAACCACCATCTGCTATCTGGAAATGATATCAGTGAAATTCAGGACAGGAAAGAAGACAGTGAGGAAAGGGCTGTGGGAGGCTCCTCCCCAGGCCCCATGGAGGTGTCAGGCTGACAGGGAATGCTCCCTCTCATCTCCTGGGAAGATGGGAGGGAGGCCTCATCTGAGGTGCTCTGGCCAAGCCCGCCTGTGCACACATATAGGGATTTGTGGGCTTTGTCTCCAGGAAGGCCTCCTCTAACCCTTACCCCCGAGTCCAGCCTCCAGCACACCCCTCCCTGCCCCCACAACACTGACCCTGGCTGCAGACACTGAGCTCCGTGGGCTAAGGCATGGTGGCCTGGCCGTCCAACTTGCCTGAGGCTCTGGCCTAAGGACAAGGCAGGTGCTAGGGACAGCCCTGGTGAGGTGGCTGGCCCCTGAAACTCCACTGTGAACCCTGGTTGAGTCAGACCTGGGGCTCCGGACACTGGGCATGACTTCTGGCCATTCCTGGGGCCGTACCATGGTGATGCGTGGCGAAGGGCAGAGGGGCTCCAGGCTGGGGAGGACTCAGCTCCCGGGGTACTCAGTGCTCTGCAGGCCCTGCCTGGCTCTCCTGTGGCCTACTCTGTTCTCCTAGGTGCTCTGCTGGCCTGAGAGCACCCACCCCTCTGGGGACAGCCCCTGACAACTGCCCCCTGCCCTGTCCTCGGCTGGGCCCTCTGTTCCCTCCTGTACCCACCCTGCCCAGGGTGCTGTCCGAGGCAACCGTCGCCAGGCTTGCCTTCCTGGCCTGCTGCCTGCGCTGACCCACTCCTTGTGGAGCTCGTTACCCCCAGGGCTGTGGGCCAGGCCTGGGGCACTGCTGGTCCTGCTGCTTTCAGAGTTGGCTGGGTAGGGGCTGAGTGTGACGGTCCTTTGCAGTTAGTCCAGGGGGAGGGGGCTCCACAGGCTCTGGAATCCCAGGCAGGGCCCTGTGCCCTTCACACTGCTCGGCCCCAGGCTAAGCTTTAAGTCCAAGGGGACCCTGCTGAGAGGAAGTGTGAGAATTCACTAGTGCTGGTGCCCAGCCCAGCCCTGGTCGGCCTGAGATGGCTGCACCCTGTGGACAGGACACTTGGTGAGCAGGGCCTGTGGTCCAGTGGTCCAGCAGGATGGAGGGGATGGTGGGGAAGAGCCAGCTGTACCTGGGTGTCCTGTACCTGTACACCCTGAGCTGGGGAGATGAGTCCAGGCTGTGGACTGTCAGGATGGAGTGAACTCGGCTCCTTGCTACGCTGAGCAGGTCTTGGTCCGACGGCTGGATGATGGCACAGAGCTCCGTGGCCGCGTCGTGGAGACTGAGGCATACTTGGGGCCAGAGGATGAAGCTGCCCATTCGAGGGGCGGCCGGCAGACCCCCCGCAACCGCGGCATGTTCATGAAGCCAGGGACGCTGTATGTGTACCTCATCTATGGCATGTACTTCTGCATGAATGTCTCCAGCCAAGGTGAGCGGTGCTGGGGCTTGGGGAAGCAGGAGGCCTGGGCAGAGCCCCCTCAGCTGGCAGACCCCGGGAGGACCGGGTTGGCTAGGTGATTGAGCAGGGGGTTCCCTTGCTAGGCTAGGCGAGGGTTTCAGGAACTTTGGCTGCACGGATGGTGGTTAGAGGTGCCGGGGGCCCCACAGAATAGAGGTCATGGGTTGACTTGAACACAGAGCACATGGGTTCACGAGCCCACCGCTGGCCCCAGAGCTCAGTGCTGGTGTCACTGCCGGCCCAGAGAGGACTCGGGAGGGGCTGATGTGGGGAAACAAGAGTGAGATCGATTTGGGGTGAGCTGGGCTCAGGCAGGAGCCTCGCCAGGCGGCCAGTTATGGGGTCTGGGCCAGTTCTCAACTGGGGATGATACTGCCACCCTGGGGAACATTAGGCAACGTCTGGAGACATTTTTGGTCATCACATCTGTGGGGATGCTCCTGGCCTCTAGTGGGTGGAGGCCAGGGAGGATGCTCAGCAGTTCACAATGCACAGGACGGCCAACTCCACAGAATCATGGCCCCAGAGGTCAGTGGTGCCGATGGGAGAGATGCTGGTCTAAAGCTCCCGGGAGGGTCCATGCACCTTGGGGACCCACTGGGTCTTTCGTGGGTAGGCAGCTGTGTTTTCTGAGTGCTCTGTGCTGGGAAGGAAGTGCCCAGCACCGTCTTGCCAGAGCCGCTGCTGACCAGCAGCGGCGGGTGGGGTTGGGGGTGGGGGGGTGGTCTGCCCAGCCCACTCTGGCTAGCCGGTCCTAGCGTCCATCTGCCAAGCTTCCCGTTGCCGACGCAAGATGAAGGCTCGAGGACAATAAGGGGCTGCCGGTCACACACGTGGAAGGATTCCATTAACGTGTGAGTTGTGATTGCCCAGAATAGACAGCTGGGGATGCCTGATGCCAGAGCCACAGGGCCAGAGGACACAGGGAATCCACGACTGGCCCTGTGCCCAGCAGAAGGCAGGTGCTGTGTGAAACTGAGTGACAGGGACTGCCCCTGAGGGCCCTGTTATCAGGCGCAGAGCTTATTCCGGTCGCTGAGCTTTTCTTTGGCGTTAGAACCAACCCCTCACGTGAGAGGAGACTGCACTTGGACAAGGGGCTGCAGTCAGTGAGGAAAGGGAGGAGCCCAAGTTTCTGCGGGTACAGTGGACAGAGCAGATGTGGGAGGTGGTGTGACGTGACCAGGATGCCCCAGGAATGTCGAGGTTAGGGGAGCTGAAAACCACATGGGTACAGACAGGGCCAAGGGTCATCCAGGTGGAGTGAGGGAGAGGGGCAGCTGAGACAGTCCTTGCCTGTGGGGTGGAGGCCGTGCAGAGACTGGGACTTGGGGCTGCGCGGTTGGTGCAGGCAGACGGGGTTGGCGGGGGGTGATGGGGAGGCCTGGTGCGATGAGGTAGGGGTGTTCTGTTCGTCAGGAGTCTGGACTCAGGTGCATCCCAGGAGAGGAGGGGTCAGCTACTCCTCCAGACCTGTCTGCAGGTGGTACTCACTACGTTCAGGATGGAACCAGAGAGAGCTTTGAGGCCAGTGAGGGGAGCTACCCGGGAATCACAGAGGGACTAAAACTCAAGGCTTTAGGTGCCCTTGGGCACATCCTGAAGTGCTTTGAAAGCTGGCTGGTTAAGGGACGTCTGGTTGCACACACCCCCACACTTGCTGGCTGTGCAGGAGGCCAGCTCCTGGGTGCTGATGGGAAGGCCTGTGCGGCTGAGGCCTGAGAGAGGGACTGGCCTGGCCACGCCTCAGGCTGAGCCCGTCAGACTCCCAGCTAGTGGGTGGGCTGAGAGTCAGGGGAGCAGGTGTCCCAGGACAGTGGCCTTGCTGGAGGGTCCGGGCGCCTCTGTCCAGGGCGCAGGGAGTAATCACTGTCCCCAGCCAGGAATCCAAGGGGGTCTGGACAGAGATGTCTTCTCGAGGGAATCCCTGGGCCTGGGTGTCTGCTTGCCGTCCCACAAGTGGCCTGAACTGGTTGGGGAGGGGACCCCACGGAGGTGGGGGGCTATTCCTGCTCTGTCAGTTTCCGCACTGGATCCTAGGGTGGGGCTCACCTGCGTCCTGTGCACACTGGTGGCTGCTCCAAGCCAGGCTTCCAGCTTCCCCAACAGCCAGTGCGGGGGGTGGTTGGGGGACCCTGGGGTTTTCTTTGCTGACCTCACAGAGGGAGCTAGGGAGCTCCATGCCTCCCCAGCTGGTGCCCATAGGAAGCACAGGTGCCTTGTGGGTGCAGGTGTGCGGGAGGGGGAGGCAGGCAGAGGGTCTGGATGGTGAGTGAGCACAGGTGTCACCCCCAAAGCTTTGGTCGGGCCTTGGGTAGTGGGGCGACAACCTGGGAGGCTTCATCTCTTCCACAGGGGATGGAGCATGTGTCTTGCTCCGAGCGCTGGAGCCCCTGGGGGGCCTGGAGGCCATGCGGCAGCTTCGCCACACCCTCCGCAAAGGTGTTGCTGGACGAGCCCTCAAAGACCTTGAGCTCTGCAACGGTCCTTCCAAGCTGTGCCAGGCCCTGGCCATCGACAAGAGCTTCGACCAGCGGGACCTGGCCACAGACGAGGCTGTGTGGCTGGAGCGGGGCCCCCTGGGGCCCAGTGAGCCAGCTGTGGTGGCAGCAGCCCGAGTGGGCGTCGGCTATGCAGGAGAGTGGGCCCTGAAGCCCCTGCGCTTCTATGTGCAGGGCAGCCCCTGGGTCAGTGTGGTAGACAGAGCGGCCAAGCGGAACACACAGGCCAGAGCAAAGGCCAGCCGGGATGAGGATTTTTAATTGTTTAAAAATGAAATAAATGCTGTGTTTATAGAAAACTGTCATTTGTGTCTCGGCCGGAGCCTCTGTCTGTGGCCAGCTCGTCTCTGTGGGAGGACCCGGGGCCAGCAGGTGCACTTCCTCCTCAGGCCTGAGGCAGCCGTGTGTGGGGAGCAGCGGTGCAGACACTTCTCCCCACCCCACCCACCCCGCTGGCCAAGGGGAAGCTAAGACAGCTGCGGGACACCGTTAGCCCAGGTCCTCGTGCCTCAGGTGGCACGGGGGCGACCGCTTGGCCATGGCCTCCTGGTGGCTAACACAGGACTGTGGGGGGCGGGGAGGGGCCGGGCCAGGCACCGGCAAGCTGGAGGGAAGGGTGCCTGCAGGCGGCCAGTGCTGGCCATACAGGCCAGGACAGGCCCTCGGACCTGAAGCTCTGGACGGCCCAGGCCCAGGGAACACGGGAGGGGGAGCGGGGCTCTGAGAGAAATACGGGCCAAGTTGGTGTGGGCAGCATGCAAGCCTCACTCCGAGGCAAGAGTCCTGGACACTCTCCCAGCTCGAGCCTCACCTTCTCAGCTCAGAGCCCCTGAGGCTGTTTCCAGGACTGGAGGCGGGTGAGGATGTGGAGAGCAGGGGCCCCATGGGGAGGGAAGGAGCCTGGGGTGGGGGAGGCTCCCTCCGGTGCCCCAGCTCAGGTGAGCAGGGCCTGGAAGACAGTGATGACCGGATCCTCGTGGGTGGTCACCACCAGGACACTGCGGAACTTGTCCACCAGCGCGAGCAGCTGGGAGCGCCGCGTGTTCTCGTTGTACATGATCTCCTCCAGGTGGTGGCGGCCGCGGAAGTAGTGCAGGAGCCTGGGGGGTGGAGGGTGGGTATGAGCACAACTACGGAGCTGGCGGGAGGAGGGGGTCCTCAGACAGGCCCCTGCTCCAAGCAGTGCCCTGGATCCACTGCCCACCGTGGCCCCTGAAATGTCACCCTGCCTCAGTGCCCTGACGGAGGTGAGGGCAGTGCAGGGTCAGCTGGCAGCGTCTCTGCTTCATGCTGCTGTGGCTCTTAGGGCACCTCGGCTGGGGGCTCCGTCCCTCACAACCTGACGCTCCCAGAACACCATACACCCAGTGCACCCAACTCAGGGTTGGGTGTGACAAGTCTGTGTCACCTATGGCGTGGAGACCAAGGGCCCCACCCGATCCCCATGAGGACAAGAACTTGCTGCTGCTTCCCAAGACGTGACAAGAAACACCCAGGAAGTACAGAAGAGACCCCCACATGCAGGTGCCAGGTAGCGACGGCTGTGTACTGGAGACGCCACCTCAACCAGTGAGGGCTGTTTGCCATCGGGATTTAAGCTGAGATCCACTTTCTGTCCTGTCCCTAGATGTGGCCCCTGCTCTACCTGGCAAACATGCGGAGGTCCTCAGGGTTCTGTGCCGCGGGCACGCTGAGGATGGCTGCCCGTTCATGCTCGGACAGGCTGGCCAGCAGGTTCTCCGTCATCCTCCTGTTGAGTGGCGAGTCCCCACTGGGGAGCAGCTCTGCACTGGAGTTGTCCATGCTGGGGCTGGTGAGGGTCATGTCATCACTGCTGGCTGAGGACGGGCATAGTCAGGGAGCGGCTGCCCCCAACCCCACGAGTCACCTGCGCCCACCTGGGAAATAACTGCTGTGCCCTTGGGGAGCAGCCCCTCACCCCAAGGCCAGCCTGGTCATCCAACCCGTCCCACCCACTCAGAAGACAGGAGCCCTGGGCAGGCAGGTCCAGCACTGAGCCTGATGTCCAAGGCCCTGCCTTAGCCTGGGGAGGTGCCTCCCCCTAAGCCTTCCAGCCCCTCGTCTTCCCCAAGCCAAGGACCTGGGGCTCGGGGCTGCTGCCTTAGGGGGCACACCGTGGCCAAAACACCTCCTTCGAAAAGGGACTATGACAGTCACTGTCTCCTCAGGCCCTGAGCATGGAGGTTTCAACGGTCCTCCCAGGGACGGGGTGTGGTCTGCTCTGACCCCAGGCTGGGCCAGGCTGCTCCTGACTCAGCAAGGTAGAGCCTTGTCCTCAGGGAGGCGGGGGAGGGGACCTCCCCGAGGGAGAGCTGCCCAGCTGGGCGAAGTGGCGTCCTCGGGGACACAGCCGCCCACGGACACTGTGTGTGCACGTTTTCGAGTGCAGCCCTGTGAAGGTGCTGTGGTCATTCCCTGAGGCGCCCAAACTGGGCCTCCTGGCCGCCTGCCTCTTCCAAGGGTGCCCAAGGTGCTCACCCCCCACCAGACAGATGCCCTGGGCAGGGGGTCCTACTTGGGGAGCCAAAGCTGAGGGCGTTGGGCGTGCTGAGGCTGCGGCCGCCAACCCTGGTGGTGAGGGGCACGTCATCCTCCCGGGGGCGGGGCTCGTCCTCACTGGGCGAGGCCATCAGGCAAACGTAGGTGTGCAGCTGGACCAGGAGCCTGCGCTGCAGCATCCACACCACCATCTGGATGAGCTGTGTCTGCAGGACGGGCAGGCCTGAGACATGACCCCCAGGTCACCCCGGAGGTCAGGGTGAGGCCCCACACCTCAAGAGAGGGAGCGCCCAGCCGCCAGCCGCTCTGCAACCCCAACTCCCGTCCAGAGGAGGCAGCGGGGCCACACCTGCCCTTGCTCCATCACACGCCCGGGCTGCCCACGGCTGTCCTTTCTTGCCCAGAGCTGAGGAGCAGGACCTGTGACGCGGAGGACCTGCTCTGCCTCCTCTTCCCCAGCCCACTGGCCTCTGTGGGGACCCTGGACACTGTTGAGAAAGAGGCTGCTGGCAGCTGCCTTGACAGCAAAAAAGTCCTCCCCTTGGGTCAACCTGAAAGCCTGCCCAGGGACTGGGAAGCCTGTGCAGGTGGTGCTCCAGCAGCCGTGAGTGGGGGGTGTGTGTGCACATGGCGTCCACGTCCTCAGACCCACACACCCACCTGCTCATCCCTGGGGGTCCCTTGCTGGGAGGGGCTGGCTGACCGGGCATGGAAATAGGGGCATATGTGACCCAGTCACACCAAAGAAAATTGAAAAGGATTGTAAAATAATTAAATTATGAGGGACTTCCCTGGTGGTCCAGTGGTTAAGACTCCTTGCTCCCGGACTTCCCTGGTGGTGCAGTGGTTGGGGGTCCGCCTGCCAATGTGGGGGACGCGGGTTCGTACCCCGGTCCGGAAGGATCCCACGTGCCGTGGAGCGGCTGTGCCCGTGGGCCGTGGCCGCTGAGCCTGCGCGTCCGGAGCCTGTTGCTCCACGACGGGAGAGGCCACAGCAGTGAGAGGCCCGCATACCGCAAAAAAAAAAAAAAAAGACTCCTTGCTCCCAATGCAGGGGGCCCGGGTTCGATCCCTGGTTGGGGAACTAAGATCCTACATACCACAACTAAGCCTGCGTGCCGCAACAAAGACCCAGCGCAGCCAAAATAAATAAATCAATCAATTTAAATAAATAAAAATTATATTAAGAGACTTCATCAGCACTTGAGCACATTCTGGGCCTGAAGTAGTAGGTATGGAAGGCAGGTGGCCTCACCCTGGGACTGAGCAGAACCAGAACTGGCTCCATCCGGGCCCCTCGGGCTTGGCCTAGAAAAGCCACCCGCCATCCGGACCATTGGGAAGCTTCCGCTGGGGAGGGGAGAGGGTGAACATGCAAAGTGTGTCTTTTATTCAGCTGGCACGACCTGGCACAGTTCCTGGAAACCAAAGGTGCCATGAAAGACAGCATTCAGAACAGTCACGCTTGGCATCTAAATGAGCGGACCAACAGGGTCTCCTCCTCATTCACAACTTGAGGAGGAAAAGGGTTTCCTTTTAAGCTTTTTTTTTTTTTTTTTTGGCGGTACGCGGGCCTCTCACTGTTGTGGCCTCTCCCTTTGCGGAGCACAGGCTCCGGACGCACAGGCTCAGCGGCCACGGCTCATGGGACCAGCCGCTCCGCAGCATGTGGGATCTTCCCAGACCAGGGCATGAACCCGTGTCCCCTGCATCGGCAGGTGGACTCTCAACCACTGCGCCACCAGGGAAGCCCCCTTTTAAGCTTTTAAGGACTGGTTTTGCCTAACAGACCTGGCACTTATTAAAGCAAATACTTTACTTTTGAAGACAAAGCCTTGAGAACACCCAGACCCATCTCCGACACCTGTCCCACCTGGCCCTGCCCAGAGCCCCAGAGCCCCAGGTTTGCAGTGGAGGGGAGGAGGCAAAGCCTCTCGGATCCAGGCTACACTCAACCCTGCCACAAACGCAGAACTCACCAGTTCGCTCCACACGTCTCACCCCTCCCTGGGGGCCAGCCCACCACACCCAGCACCCTGCCTGCCTCTCGCCCTGACCAAGACCCAGGACCCCTTGGATGAGGAGATTCTGGGGATCAGTGAGCCCAGGACTTATACCCACAGACCCTGTGGCCACCTGGACCGTGGCAGGCAGGGGAGGGAGTAGGAGTGTAGGGACCAGACTCAGTGAAAACAAAATCCCCTCTGCGTCCCCCAACTATGGGATCCCCAGGCCCAGAAGGGGGCACCAAGTGGCTCTGTCCTCCCAGGAGAGGTCACCGAGCTCCTGCCAGTTGGGCCTCTTACCTGCATTCTAACCCTAAGAAGTGCCCACCATGGGCAGGGGGGCTCCATGGAGGGAGGGACTTGCAATGCTCAAGTGTCTGCAGGCGGCCTAGCCAGGGACACGGCTTCTGGTCACCCTGGCAGGGCAGGTACCACCTACACAGCAAGCACCTCCCCCCAAACCAAGGCTAAAAGCACGGCAGCACCGAGAGCCTGGGATCAGGGACTGACCCAGGTGGGTGGTTCCTGGGCTCCCTGAGCTCCTGACACTCACCTCCTGCACAGCGGGGGCCAGGGGGTTCCTAAATTCTGACAAGGAGACCGGCAAGGAGAACTTAGCGAGGACAGACGGCAGGTCGTGAGATGGAAACTGGCGTGAGAACTGCTCAGCCAGCGGAGAGTACCTGGGGACAGGGGGTGAGGGTCCGTGAGCTCAGCAGACCTCCCCACCATTCAGGCGTCTGCACCCTCGCCATGAGCCTGTGGTGGGCAGGAGGGGGCGCAGCCTGGTGGGTGGGCCAGGATGGGTGCAATGAGGATAGAACCCAGATGCTTTCCCCACACCACAGCCCCTATGAGCCCCTTAGTCAAGGCCAAGGCTCCTGACCTCCCACCAGGTGCCCCGTGCAGCACCCACTGGCTGGCAGGTACAGGCAGGCGCAGACCCTTCCTGGAGGCCGTAGGTGCTGGAAGAGCACAGACTAGGGGTACCATGCAGGGCTGGACCAGGCCAGAACTGGAACGTGGGCCCAGCTGACCTGGGGAGCACCGCCTGGCCGGCCCTGCCAGCCACTCCCCTGCCCACTCGGGCGCCCTGGGCTCTGGCAGCCAGGGGGACTCACAGACACACACTGGCGTTGGGAGAAAGCATGTAGACGTTGTTCTCACACAGCGGGTAGATGATGATGGCCTTGCCCCAGTACACCAGGTGCGCCGCAAGCTGGAAAACCTGCGGGCAGAGGGCCGGGAGGACAATGCTGGGGAGGCCAACCCACGCAGCCCCCTGGCTCATGGCCACAAGCCTCTCCGTCACTGGTCCCTGAGCCGTCCTGGCTGGCACCAGCACAGGGACGCTGGGGCACCCGAGATGAGGCCAGTCCAGCTGATCAAGGGGCTTGGCTGCACATCCCAGCAGAGGCCAGCCCACAGCCCAGCCGGCGCCCAGCACGGAGACGGGGCTCCACGTGACAGTGGATGTGGGTCACTGCACCTGCCCCCTCCACACACTCATCCCTGGAGAACATCCCACTGTCCTGCTGCCCTGACTCTCAAGACACACACACCATGATGACAGGACAGGGAGCCAGGGTGAGACTACGGCAACGGGCACCGCTCATCCTGCAGCACCACGGCCAAGCGCCTCTGAGGGTGCATGCACACCTGTGACAGTGCCGGGGACACCTCTACCTCGTCTCGGCAAACAGGGCCTCCAGTGCCACAGCCAGATCAAACACAGAAGAAATTTCAGTTCCATCGCTGACCCTCTTCTTTCTCAGCCCAAGTCCAGTGCTGATGGCTCTAAAGGACACAGGCCCCCTTCCTTCCATCTCTGCCACCACCCTCGCCCAATGGGCTCCACCTCCCACCTCTCTGCAGCCAGAGCGCCCTCTGCAGTCCCCAAGTCTGAAATCAGGATCACCCGGCTGGAGTCAAGCTGTCAGCAGGGAGACTGTTCTTTGCTTCCAAGTTGCTGTGACCACACGTCTCAACTCTGCCTCATGGTCACATCCCTGCCTCCCTCTCAGAAGGGCCCACCCAGATCATCCAGGATCATCACCCTGTCTCAAGGGCGTTATTCCCATCTGCAAAGTCCCACATAAGGAAGGTCACACTCACAGGTCCCAGGGATTAGGTCTACGGGGCCACTGTTCACCCAATCACAAGTAATGTGTGATCCTAATTTTATTCAGAGATTATTCAGAGATTATGTGTTAATATGTATATAAAAAGCTTGGCGGAATCTAGGTTACCACTAGGATATGGGATTATGGGGACTTTCTCTTTTTCTGTTTATAATTTGTATGATATTTGAATTTTTATATGAATATATTAATTTCATCATGACAAAAAACCCTCAAAATACTTGCAGAGCTTTTTTGCCTAGGATGGAACATGAGTGATTTTAAATCATCTGGTGACATTCACACCTGTGCTTGAGGTTCCAGCTGGGCTCGCTGGCCTCCCTCCCCACGGGGGCCTCCGCTAGGTGGTCTGCTGCAGGAAGCAGCAGTCCTAGAGGCTGGTAAGGTCAACCACCAGGGCTGGGCCCCAGGGGGCGTCTGCACAACCACACCAGCGGCAAACCCTGATTTGCACCGGGTTCAGCGGGAAGGGGCATGGAAGGAAACAGCAAGGGGACCCCATGGCAAGGCCGGGGAGAGGCGAAGGGGACATCATCAGAGCTTTGTCTGTGTCTGGGGGAACTGTGAGGCACAGTGTCCAAACAGGCTCCGCGTTGGGCAGCATCAGGGGACAGTGAGGGTCACCCCCTCAGAGCTGCACACTCACAGGCATCTGCTGATCAGCCAGTACTGGTCAGAACACAAACTCCGCAGTACACACACAACAGCTATCGCGTTAAATGTTCTGTGTCTCATGGGTGCTAGGAAGGCAGTCCAGGAGCCCATGTGAAACACAAAGGCAGAGTCTGATAAACACTTTCAGATGGGGTGGACAGAGGTCATGGGGTAGAGATGGGGGAAGGGCTTATTTGGGACGAAAGAATCCAGAAAGGCTGCTTTGGGGAACATGGCCTGAGAGTCAGGCCTGGTAGACAAGCTCCCCTAACGTGCTAAGGAGCAAAGGCCAAGGGCTCCCTGGAGGTGCCTCGCAGGGGCCTAGGTGGCCTGCCTCATGGTGCTCCACCCTTGGCCTTTGTAGGAGCCGCTGGTCCCTGAGCCAGGCCCTGCTGCCCCCTGGCGGTCACACAGTGCCCCGTTCCAGACCCTGAGTCCACCCTCAGGCTGTCGCTTGGAAGGCCCCCTGCCCCTGGCCTTCAACTTCTCCCTGTGCTTTTCCTTGCCCCCAGCCCCCGCCCAGGTTCAAACCAGATCCACAGCCAGGGAGAAGGGGCCCCCATCTGATCAGAAAGGGCAGCTCACGAGCACGTGGCTCGGCAAGGAGGTGGCACCTTGCACAGAAACACAGGCCTGTGTGCCCGTGGGGCGTGGCGTGGGGAATCAAGGCCACTGGGTTTGGTGCTGGCTCTGCATGGCTCCCACGTGGGCTAAGGCACCCTGCGTACCCCTGCTTCAACCCTGCAAGCCCCCAGCCCTGGCTCTGGTCCTGTGCGGCCCCGTCACCTGGCACCACGATGGCCTCACTCCTCTGCCACAGTTTCACTGCTCCCTCCCCTCCACAGAGGAGGAAGTCAATCCCGAGGCCTGATCCCAGGTCAGACTCCAGATCCACCCACCACCACAGCAGGCCACGCAGCAGCCCTCGGCTGGATGGAGGCCCTAGGGAGGCGACTTGAGGTGCCAGCTGTGATGCGTCCAGCCCCTCCCTGCTGCCCATCCTGCCCACCCAGGGTGTCTCCTCAAGCCCCCAGGGTACCTGCAGCAAGGCCAGGTCTGCGTCCTGGGCCAGCTGCTGCAGGTTCTTCACAGCAGACGTGGTCTTGATCACACGCACCAGGGCTGGGGAGCAGTCAATCGGGAGCTCGCCCAGCAGGGACTTCTCGTCACTGAGCAGCAGAAGGGCGTGGTACGGGCTGTGGGGCAGAGACACGGGTCATCACAACCAGCGAGCCCCAGGCCCTTGCCCTGGGTGTGCATCTGCAGAGAAGAGGCCGGGGAGGAAGCGGAAGACAGTGCTGTGCCCTGAGGCCTTTAAAAATCTGCAAGGATCACCCACAGAAAAAACTGAGGAAGGCCTGACGGGTGACCTGGCTCCATCCCACCTCTGGGATTGCCCAGCAAATGTTCGTTCGAAAACGAGTGAATCTTTCCTAAGAAAAGAGTCCCAAATATGGGAAAAGCAAAATCCCCACTGCAGACTATGAACAGAGCTACCTAGAAATACACTTAGCAAGGAAGCCCGGGGCGGCGCACAGGCCTGGGGAGGGAGGAGGGACCAGGCAGTGCTTTGCTTTCTGTCGTCTCAACATTTTCTGTTATGTACCCAGATTTCCTTTTCTGGTTAAAAAACATTTAAGGAAACAAAGGACTTGATGGAGGAGGGGGAGGCAGAAGATTGGGCTCAGCGCTTTCCTTGAAGGAAATCAGTGACATGAAGAAACAGATCTCACAAGTTCTGATCTGAGCAGGAGGTCCGGTGAGTAACACCATGAAGACATAACGTCTCCTGTGGTTGGCTCCTGGCCCCTGCCACGATGCTCAGCCCCACAGCCCTGCCCAGGTCCTCGTCTGGGACCGCAGCACAGCGCCCCGCTTGGCCAGGCAGTGCTGAGAGGGCCCGTGGGGAACCTGGGGTGGTCATCTCTAGACAAAACTGGACACAAAAGCGTGTATTTTTACTCTGTAAACAGCAGCGCCCTACCTGCCAATTTCTGTGGCAGGAAGAGGAAAAGACGATTTTTGGAACCAAGTACTTGGTAAACCTCAGGACACAGGAGAGCAGGGCCCCAGCAGGGTGTGCGTGGGGCTGGCACTCACCGGATGGCCTTCAGGCTCCGCTCGATGGCCTCGGGGGGAATAAGGCTCGTGGCCGCGTAGTGGATCTTATGGGGCAGGCAGAAGCTCACCTCCAGCCAGCTGTTGACGTGGAGCCGCACCACGCCAGATGTGCACAGGCTGCAGAGAGCGGGCCGTCAGCCACCCACATAGCAGCTCCCAGCCGTGCACACAAGCCACACAGACACCCCTGAGGGCGCCTCCTCCCAGCACACGGAGGAAACTGCAGGGGGAGACTTCCAGAGCAAGAAAGCATCTTGTCCCGGACCTCAGTATGTGTAAGAGAAGAAAAAGTATTAGGAACACCCACAAAAACTGTATTCCTGGCCAGCCCTGGAACCTCTAGTCCAACTAGAGAGCCAGGGCTCCCATCTCTGTCCCACAGGCTCAGTGCACTAGGGGTATCCTGAGGCCGCCTCTGCACACCTGAGGAAGGCTCCATCACAGCGGGCTGCCTCTGGCAGGGCAGGGCCTGTCACCAAAAGGGAGAGGTGAGCAGGAGAGGAAGGTCTTGCCGGGGAGGGGCCCATCCCCCTGCAGACACCAGCAGCCCCAGGGGCTCCACGGCCACCGCCAATGCCAGCCTCGGCTCAAACCTTCGGCTTCCCTCGTCTCCGTGATGGAACTTTGGTTCTTTCAAGCCCTGGCCTTGCTCAGGCCAGACATGGCAACTCTGTGTCTGACCCTCATTTCTCACATCCCACCTCAAACCATCTGTCAATCCTATCTGCTTCATGGCAGGGACAAAGTCCAGACCTTCTCCGTTCTGGCCCCCTCTGTCCGCCCTCTCCACTCAGACCCCCAGGGCTCCCACGTAAGCAGTCCCAACCAAGACCCCAGAGTGCCGGAGCCCTGTGGGACCTGCCCACTCTTCTCCGACCCTGTCTCCTCCCCGCCTCCCATGGGTCCAGCAAAATAGGCTGCCCTGCGGCTCTCCAGGCCCATGTAATTGCCCTGGCCACACACTCTCCCCCAGGTGCCCCGGGGTTCCTTCCCCCCTTTTCAGATCTCAACTCAAGCGCCACCTTCTCAGTGGCTCAACCATGAGCCAGGCCCCACAGGCTGCTCACAGTTCCCGTGTGTCCTGTGCACCGGGCAGCAGCACGACCTGCTGTCTCCTGGTCAGTGCTGTTTCCCGACCAGAATTCAGTCACAAGGTGCACTGCTCACCGTACAACCGGTAATGGTGGGGTACGTGGGGGCACTGAGGGCATTTCCTGAATGGAGGAAGGAAAAGGCCCGAGGAACATGTGTCCGCTCTGGGGGGACCATCTCTCAGGAAGACTCTGCCAGGAGAACAGTCTCCTAGCGGCGCCGTGCAGGGGGACCACACACAAAGCTGGGGCCATGGCTCCGTGGCATGGCACCTGGTGTGGATGTGGGGGGAGCGACTGCTGGAGCAGAGGGCAAGGGGGTCTGTGCCCAGCCGAGGCCCGCCTGCCCTGCCTGGGGTACCCTCCCCGTCACACTCCAGCCCCACTCTGCTGGCCCCGCTGGCGCCCAGGTCTCAGGGCTCTCAGGCACACAGATGCAGGGTGCTGGGAGGTGGCCCCGTGGCCCCCCCACCCCGCGCCCACAGGCCGTTCTTACAGCCTCTCCCCACAGCTCCGCCCAGACGGACGGCAGAATCCATGGTCAGCAGTTTCAAATGTAAAAATAAGCCTTCATTGTCTCCAGCAGGGAATGGGCAACGGGCAAAGGACCGTGGGAAGAACACAGAGCACGTCTGTGACCTCAACTGCCCCAGGACTCCTGCCAACACCGGCGTCTGCTCCCTCTGCCTGTCCTGCCACCAGGGCGTCAGGAGAACCAGGCCCCCAAGAGCCTCCCTTAAGGGACGGTCTTAGGCTCTGAGCTGCAGGCTGTAGCTGAGTCTGGAGGGCAAAGGTTTGGCCACTGCTGATGACACAGCCCCTTAAGGTGAAACCCAGGCACGGGTTTGGTGACTGTCACAATTTGGGGAAGAGACCCCGGGTCCTTCCCCAGGTCCCAGTGGAGGACACCGCTCTTGGCTTCTTCCAGAAGGAAGCAAGTACACCTGAGCCGACAGAGGCTCCTGGAGCCTCCCCACTCCTTGGCCAAGGGCCTTTGTGGGCTGGACGGCTCACGTCAAACCCTGGGAAACAGCGTCTTCAGGGATCAAAAGTCACACGAAGGGGACCCAGGGTAGTGGCTCCACTTGCCTGGGCAACATTTATGCTCTCAGCATCTGTGTATGAGGGAAGCAGGCAGGGGAAACTGGGCGCCAGCTCCTCCTCCATTCACTTCACCCCTGCTCGGAAAGGCTGGTGGATTCAAAATCAAGGTCTTCCTGTCTCTGAGCTCCCCTCTAGGACACGGCTCAAAGTGCCTGCGAGAATGAATGCCGCAGAGTCAGAAGTAAACACTGAGAGGCCTCTCATTTCAGAGGTAGCCGTGTGGGCTCCTCAAGGAGCCCAGGGATGCCAGGCGCAGGTTGTCGAGCCACACGGCACATGCAGAGGCCCCAAGCACTGGTTCGGGCTCTTGGGGCACAATTTACAGCCCTGCACTTGGGGGCTCCCACTCAGCGGTGCCGAGAAAGACACAGGGAATCGTAAGCAAACTGTGTGAACACGAGAAGCCCAAGAGAGCGGTAAGAAAAGGGATGGGGGGAGGGTGCAGGGGTGTGTATGGGCTGGGAGGGGGCTTGGGACAGGCCTCATGGAGACTCAGCTGCAAGTGCCGAATCTGGGTACCAGGGAAACGAAGAGTCAAGGCCTGTGCAGACTCTCCACCATGTCACCGTCCCCAGAGCCCTGGCCACACAGTCTGGGCACATGCTGGCATGGGGTCCTCTTCTCTGGGGGGAGACACGCCCTCCCTGGGTCCCTAGTTTCCACGTGGACTTTACTCCGTGTTCCCAACACTGGCGACCGCCTCCCGTGGGGCACTTGGCGCTGAGGCCGGTGCCTCTTTACAAACAAACGGAGCTCTGTAGCGTGCGGACCCTGAGCGCCATCTCCAGCAGCACCCGAGGGCCAGCTGCAGGCCCAGGCGAACCCCGGGACACCCTGGAACTAGCCAGGAGGGAGGGCGCCGCACTGGGAATGTCCTATAAACCCCGCCGCCATCAAGAGGTGAGCCCGGAGCTGTGCTGAGGTCTGTCAGGAGGAGGAAAGAGAGATGTTTGCCCTTGTTTCTCAAGTGTGTGCGGCTTTAAGACAAGACTAGCAGAGTAGAAGTCGGGCCCGAAATGGGTCCTGGGAAGCTCTCACTTCTATTTGCCGGCAGTTAACGGTTGGGTCTGGGAACTCTGAGGAAAAACACTGCCCCTGTGTGAGGCTTATCCGGCCCCTCACACAGCTCCGAGACGCCGCCCCGCCTGCGACTTGAGATATATGCTCCTCCAGAGCCCGCGTCCTGAGGCGGCCACACCGGCCTTCCAACAAGCTCTTATCTTTCACACCCCAGACGACGGTGCACCAGCTCATTTCATCAGCTCACACCTCAGCATCCTAGAGAGAACTTCAATTCCTAACCTAACGTCCTCCTCTAGCCTCGGACCGGTCACCCTTCTTCCTGCCCCAGGCCAGAGACCTTCGAAGCCAGCCCTACACCCTTTGGTCCAAACACAACATGCACTGGGACGAAACTGCACATGACCCACGAGGTCTGGGTGGGCTCCAAAAGGCCAGCCTTGAAATGTTTAAGTTTAGGTTTAAGTGCGTCTCATGGCAACAGGGACTGAAATGCCCAGGATACTTGCGGACGTGTCTGTGGGCCCACCCCTGCTCTGGATGGGCAGCAGTGAGGCAGCATCCCCAGCGCACACAGCACCGCCCGCAGGCCCGGACCTGGGTGGCTTCCCCAGGCTCCCAGCCTCCCGGGCCCACCACAGGCCCTGTCAGCTCTGAGAACTCTTCAACAAGCACTCCTTTGAGCCCCACGGAATCCACATCAAGGGGACTCGTGTTTACTCATCCCTTCAACCACATGCCGAGCACGAGGGCTGTGTCACAGAAAGCGAGGGGATGTCCCTGACCTCATGGGGTGCTGTCACTCAAGTCACGAAGCTGCACAGGCAGACACAGGTGCTGGGCAAGCTGAGGCAGCCACAGGCGCCTAAGTCCCGGGGCACAGGACCACCAGGCCACACCACAAACCCGGATTTTAATTAAAGCAGCCAATCCAGAGCCATTCCTTTGCAAAGTCCCACCCCAACCCCTAACCTCAACCAGTTCTCACAGCTTCCAGCCTCTCACTTCTGCTCTGAGAACGCCCTTCCCAGGGGTCAGCCAGCAAGTCTCCACCAGGAAAGAGCTGTATGTTCCCCACCGCCTGCGCAGCCTCCCCTTCTTAGCTCCAAGGTGCAGTCCACCCTGCAGGAGCAGAGTGGGCCAGGCCAGACTCTCGAGGCCAACATGGACCTGGTGGGTCAGAGGGAAGGCCACAGACCAGGGGGCTCCTGGGAAGTCTCAGAGCCGCTGCTGTTGCCAGGCGGGGACAGGGGACGGGGAGGACACAGATGCCCCTGGGCCTCCTGCGGGAGAAGCACCGCCGGTTTCCCTGGGGCCGGACCCAGGACCCAGGAGCCTGTTTCCAGACCCCACTTGGTCAGAGTGAGGTCTGGAAATAGGAAGGATGGGGTGGTGTTTCACCTGGAGGAAACTGACACACCTCGGTTCTGGAAGGAATCTAAGTGCCGAATGGTGGACCCTGGCAGCTGTTTTTGCCGCAAACACTGACGCCTGTCCTTGGAACTAGTACCACTAGAGGGTGCTGGGCTGCCCCAAGCCCCAGCTCGGCCGGCCCAGCAGGTCACCAAGGAAGCAGCCAACTCTCCAGGGCCTCATTCCCTCCAACTTTCCAACACAATTCAAACCTAAGAAATCACAGCTCATTATTCACTTAGAAACATAAAGTCTGGTTCTGGTTTGCTTTTTATTGTAATTCCACGTTAGCGTGAACTTAGCTTGTAGTCTAATCCTACTTGAGGCATGCAAACTCCCACTCAGAAAATGGCAACAGTTTCCAAGGAAGGGGTTTCTCATACCAGCCCACCCAGACCAGAGGGCAGTAATTCTCTTACTGCAGGAAAAACTGCCATGTGATCATGTGGATAAAAAGAGACAGGGTCAGACTACAAGACCAGAAATCTGTTCTGGGTCAAGACCAAGGCTTCGCCAAGAGGTCTCCAGAGCACGAGGGACCAGAAACCAAGGCAATCATGCAGCAAGGGGCGTTTCACGCTGCTCTGATTTCCCCCAACGCCCAGAGGTCACCGAAATAAAGAAACGGAAACTCCAGCCCGGACGCACACCCCAAAGGACAGCTCTCCCTCCCACATAAAGGCACCTGTGCCCCCAACAGAACACTGGTGAGGGGGGAAAACTTCCCTGGCGGTCCAGTGGTTAGGACTCTACGCTTTCACCACAGAGGGCGCAGGTTCAACCCCTAGTCGGGGAACTAAGATCCCCCAAGCTGTGCAGCTGGGCCAAAAAAGAAAAAAAAACAAAACAGGTGAGGAGTCGGAGCAGAGCGCTCACAGAAAAGGAAACAGGGATGTTCCACACGTGAAGTCATGCACACCTGCGTTCAGATAAAGCTGCCCTGAGACCCCGTCCTCCACACATCACGGTGGGCAGAACCCAAAAGCTCACAAGACCCTGTGCTGGCAAAGCTCAGGTGCTGCTGATTCAGGTGCTGCTGATGGGAATGCAGACCGAGCCACAGAAGGAAGTGCCTCCAAATGACACGCACACCTGACCTATTCAGCCCGGCAATTCTTTTAGGAATTTATCTCATGGATGCACAAGCACTCGCACGAAATAACATGCATATAGTTGAGCAGCACGTCTTTCAGCAGCAAAAGCTGGAGTCAGTGATGCCCCAGGGAGGGGGCAGGCAGCTGTGCAGCAAGAAGTCAGTCCCTATTTACCAACAGACAGACGTCTGTCGGTAAGCTGCATGTTAAAGTGAGGAGGTAAAGGGCGAACCGTGCACTCAGTGCGCTCTGGCTACGAAAGGGTTCACTGTATGTGCTTTAGCACCTTGCGACAGGGCGCACAACACTCAGCTGCCTGATGCAATGCACCCTGCCACCAGGAAGGAAACCTGGCGAGGGTGCAACGGGAAAGAAACTCTGTGCTCTGACTTTCAAACTCAAAGGACAGGTGACCTTTTCAAAGGCTTAAGTTAAAAAAAAGGAAACTTACCAAAAGGTCATAGTGATTATCACTGGGTATGGGATTATAGATGATTTTTATTTCCTTTATATTTTTTTATGTTTCCCAAATGTCTATAATAAACACATATCATTGGTGAAATCAGAAAAAATATTAACATTAAAAAAAAAAGAAAGGGACTTCCCTGGTGGTCCAGTGGCTAAGACTCCACGTTCCCAGTGCAGGGGGCCCAGCTTCAATCCCTGGTCGGGGAACTAGATCCCGCACGCCGCAACTAAAGGTCCCACACGCTGCAGTGAAGATCCCCGATGGTGCTGTGGCCCCAGCTCTCAGATCAGGTCCACCTCCAGCAGGGAATGTGGGTCCACTGGACAGAACGAAGCCCCGAGAAAGCCGGGGCGGGGGAGGTGCGGGAGCAGAGGAGAATGTGGGGAAGTTGGGGGTGGTGGAGAGGAGAGAGGCCTGCACCTACACACTATCTGTCCAGCAACATGCCTGGTGCTGCAAGGTCCCCTCAGCCCTGAGAGGCCCCTGGTGAGCCAACTGGCCAGGTGCACTTGGGCAGACAGCCCCCCACCCCCATTCCCCATCCCATCCCCACTGCAGACCCAGGGCCAGGGAGCAGTGGTCAGAGCCACACGGACGCTCTTTAAAAAGAAGAGAAGTGGGGCTTCCCTGGTGGCGCAGTGGTTGAGAGTCCGCCTGCCAATGCAGGGGACACGGGTTCGTGCCCCGGTCCGGGAAGATCCCACATGCCAGGAGCAGCTGGGCCCATGAGCCATGGCCGCTGAGCCTGTGCGTCCGGGGCCTGTGCTCCGCAACAGGAGAGGCCACAGCAGTGAGAGGCCCGCGTACCGCAAAAAAAAGAAAAAAAAAGAAGAGAAGTGCCTTGCTGGTCCACGTTTAAGAGAGTTGGTGCTGAGCCACTAATATGAGCAGTGTCTCCAACGCCTGCTGCCCTCACACACTCAGGGTCCCAAACCCCCACGACCCCGGTGCGGGGGAAGCAGAGCCAACCCCAGCCCCAGTCCCCGAGCCTCAGTCTCCTCGTGGGTGAGGTGGCGACCGTGACCGCGCCTAACGAAGGTGGGCCTGGAACTTGGCACGGTGTTGCGCTCAGTCAGCATCACCGTGCATTTCAGGTCCCATGCTCAGCTTTCTTCAGCTTCATTTTCTGGCTAAAGACAAGTCTGGAGGTGACCGTCCCAGCGGGGCTCCTCCCCAGCCTCCCCCCATCTCAGGCACAGCAGGGAAATGGCACTAGCCCGGGGAGGCCCATGGGAAGCAGACCACCGTCTCACCTGTCGTAAGCGTCCTTGAGGTCCCTGGCCAGCTTGCACTTGGGCAGGATGTGATGGAACGGGGACTGAGGCCCATCATTTGCTGCAAGAATTGTAACACAGAGGACTCAGAGTCTGCACAGCGAGGAGCTTGCACAGGCCAGAAGACAAGCTTAACCTAAAAAGAATTTTAAGTGGCTGTAAACCAAACATCAGGAAATTCTCCACTGGTGTGCTCAACCGTCTTTATACGGGATGTCTGGATTTACCCTTCACCAGTGGCCCAACCTGACCCTGTAGCCACAGCCCTCACAGGAAGAAACCCTTCTGCAGCTACCCTGCAGGCTCCCTGCAGGCTGCCAGAGCCACCCCCACCTCAGACCAATCACTCCCTGCCTCACCCCACTCCTTCCCCCACACACTTACACCAGTGCAATTTATTTTCATGATCCAAAGTCTCTTGTTAATCTTTTCTCATAAATGTCTAACAAAAAATATATGTACTTAAATTGAACTTTTAAAAATTTCCTGTGAAAAAGTCACAGATTCTAAAGAGAATGTTTAAAAAACAAAACTTCTGGATTGTTATTAGCTAGTACATAACTGGGCAAAACAAATATATTACACATTTTGACAACTAACTGTCAAACATCAAAAGATAACTTTTACTGAAAAAATGCACCCAAGTGACAGAGTTCATGTACACTTCTACTTATTGCTAAAATTAGCCCAGGTTCACTGGCAAATCTGTTCCTAGTTTTCTCTTCTGTTATGGAGGTGCTGATCCGAGAAGACGGAGGTGAACAGGCTGTGACAGGTGGGCATCTCTCTGCTCTGAAATGTTGACAGTACACCAAAGCCTCATGGGGATCTATCATCAGACACTACTTTTAATAACTGGTCAGCTGATAACTCAGCTGGGTCCCCCTTCAATTTAGGTGAAAGCAAAGAACTACCCCCCCCGCCAGCTCAATCTTCCTGCTGCCCCTCTGCATGTCCCCTGCTTCAGGGGACTGTCCAGCAGGACCAGGGCGGGGCAGGCGGTGCCTGACCTGCAGGAAGAGCCACCGTGCAGGGGCCTGGGGGGAGGGGAACGTTTTGGGCTGGGAAGCCACTCCTGGAACATCAGTTCAGGAATCTGGGTCTAGCTGTGTCCCTTGGGGATCTTCCTGTGCACCCAGGGCTGCTCAGCCCACCATACAGACCATTAGTTTCCACATCGGCCCACCCAATGGGGTCCCTGCCCAGAGAAGCCGCCCGCCACCCTCACCGTCAGCCATGGCAGACACCTCGTCCTGCAGCGCCAGGATCAGCTTGGCCTCCCGCGTGAGGTACTGGCAGCGGCGCTCCTCGTGCTGCAGCACGGTGGCAATGCGGCGGGAGAGGTTGTGCAGACAGTTTATCACCGATGGGTCAGCGTTGGCCTGCAGGAGAGAGGCCACAGCCAACCCGATCATAGCACATGCACTCGGGGAGGACATACAGCAACACTCAGAGCCCCTCTCTGGGTGCCACCACTGTCCCCAGTCCCGGGTCCCCTCTAGGGCCTGTCCCAGCAACGTGGGCATGGACCGGCCGCCTGGACGGAACACAGATGGCTCCATGGGGGTCCCCGGTGGGGAGGGAGGGGGGACACAGGCATTTCTAACAAGCAGAGAGAGGTGCCCATGCTCAGGGCCCCAGGCCAGGGCCATGCAGGAAGGCAGAAGATGTTCAGGCATCCACTCTGGACGTGACAGAGGCAGCCCAGTGGCACAATGGAAGGCACAGATCCCATCAGCCACCTGCTGTGCGACCCCGGATCACAGGCTCTCATCTGAGAAAGGAGAACAGTGGCCCCTCTCTCAGCAATCAGTCAACATGTCAAGTGCTCAGAACACAGCAAAACCCCTGGCAGTGTCTGCAGTCACCAATGTGCCACTGAGTGCTAGTGGACAGGATCGGCTGTGTGAGAATTTGGTCACACAGCCCATGTTACAACAAGGACACAGTGTGAGAAACAGAAGCACCAGGCCCACTGTTCAGTGAAGACCTGTCCTCAGTGTAAACAGCTCTTCCTGAGACCCTGGCTAACAGAGAAGCCAGGAGGCGCCAGGCCATCCCCTTCCCTCCGCGCCCATGCTCACTCTGGGACCTATCAGGGGCCACAGCCAGGCCAGGCGGGCGCATCCACCCAGGCCAAGGGTGGGGCAGGCAGCTGTGGGGTCTGTGAAGATGGGACACGGAGCAGATAACCAGCCACAGTGACTCAGCGCTCCAGGAGGCCGCCAGAACAGCTGAGTCATCCCGTGGGTGGAGGTGGGAGCAGTGGTGCCCATGATTAGAACCTCTGGTCGCCCTGCCCCCGGTTATCTACAGGCAGGGCCCTGTGGTGAGTGTCCACAGCCAGGCTCCTGGGCCAGACCCTGACCTGACTCAGTAAACCCGTTCACCACCTGGAGCTGGAGACACTTTCTGAGCTCCTACAGACCCATGTTCGCAAACAGAACACACCCCAGGCAGCACACCTGTGCGGGGACAGGGCTGAGGGCTGACTCCACTCCGGGCCCACCTACGGGCAGCAGCCCTGCCCCAAGCCCAGGACAGCCCCTCAAGTGTCCCCGCAAGGTCACGGGACGGAGGGTCTGGGGTATAGGGTGTACACAACTGCCTCAGAACAAAATGTTCTGCTTTAGATTTTAGAGAAATCTGTGTAAAATTCCTCCCCGCAGCAAAGCAGAGAGAGGAGAATGACCTGGGCGCGTGGTTACTCCCTTGAAGAAGTAGCCCAGTCACACCTGAGAGCCTCATCCCCCATCACGCTCCTACTGGCTAGGGCACAACGGTGTCGCAAGTCAGGCGCCTGGGGCCGCTCGCTCACACTCCGGGATGAGCGAGGATGGAGCGAGCCTGGGTGTCCCAACCAGCTGCACAGGCCAGGCTTGGCTCAGGGTGCCCACAGAGCCTGGGCTACGTGGGGCCACAGTGAGAAAGCGACCACCCAGGATGTGCCAGCCCTGAATGGAGCTCTGAGAAACACCCACTCTCCCCACACCCAACGTGAAGCAACAGTGAAGTGTAGGGATTTGCCTGCGAGATTTTCTCACCCTGAAACTTGTACCCAAATCCAGTCAGGCCTTCAGAGCTAACATTCAGCTTGCGGGAAACACACGAACATGGAGCAAGCCTGACTGCACACTGAGATGGGTCCGACCGTGGACCCTTCACAGGACAAAGGAGGGGCGAGTCAGAGACCTGGAGACACAAGCCCCAAGCTTGTGTGGGCTGGCTTCTGGTTTTCACCCAGGTTCAGACAGGTCAACGGGAAAAAACGCTGTGGCAACTAGGGCACGTTTCCATGGACCAGGTACTAGCTGATACCAGCTTACGGTGAGCTCTGTCAGGTATGGTATAAAATAGCTGCCCCCCTTTTCCAGAGACGCCTCCTGAAGTGTGTGGGGTGAGCAGACATGAGGTCTGAGGCTTGTCTTGAAATACTTGAGCGATGGGTTGGGGGCAGATGGAGCCAGGGTGCAAGGCAGCAGCTGTGGGATCTCAGAGACAGGTGTGCAAGGACCATCAATCTATTGTCACTAGCTCAGGGTTTGTTTACAACTTTTCAAAGTAAAAAGGGTGCACATTTTTTTTTTAGCATGCACATTTTAAAATAACTACAGAAAAGAAGAAAAAAACTGGCCCACCCTTTATGCTATTTTAAATTCCTCCCACTGTTCACCTCACGGCCTCTGTGCTCTGAAATCCTACACTACCCTGTTCCCACTGCTTTAACCTGGCAGTGAGCCACCCACCCGCTCCAGGGTCTGGCCTCGCCCCCATTTCTCATCTTCAGTGGCCACAGGACGTTCCAGTGTGTAAAACCACTATCCTGTCTAATCATTCCCCAACTACTGGATACCAGGATTATTTCCAGCCTACTTATTATAAAAATCTTCATACAACTTTAAAATCTGCCTGTTTTCTTGACTGTCGTGTCCATGGGTGTCATACACTCCGCTATCACACCCTGCTCCCCAGAGATGAGGGCTTGCCAGCAACATCCAGGGTGGGGCCGAGGCTGCTTCTCATGGCCCACCCCACAGGGGCTATCAGTGCTGACGGGCGGAGAGCACTGGTCATGGTTTTGGTTTGTCTGTCTTTAACTTGAGTTCTCTTTGTGGATGTCTGTATTACGTAATGATATAAGTAATAAAGGGACACTGTGAAAATGCAAACACTATGGAAGTGCACAAAGCAGAAAGTAAGAGTCTCCTCTCGGAACCTCAAGCCCCGGGACAGCCACCAGGAACAGCTGGCTTTGTTTTAACTTGCAGCTCTTTCTTTATCAACAAGGTGGGCCAGTTTTAAGGATTACGCTCCCTTCAGAGAGGAGGAAGCTCCATTTAGGAGCTCTTCCCTAGCGTTATTCTGATTCTGAACTCTTCAGTGAGACCTGTGGTCTCCACAACAGAAAAGCCTCAGTGGGAAAAACACTCTGAGACTAAGGCACCTGATATGACAGGCTCCCTCCTGCTCAGGCTCACCCGCGCCACAGCAAAGGGTACAGAGCACACTGCTCCTTGTCACCAAGATCTAGCCACTTTCTCACTGACACTTCTGTACAAAAGCCGTTGTGCAGCTCACATGTGCCCAGCCAGAAAGAACTACTGGATTCTTTGGTGAAAACCGATAGTGGGATATGTCTGAGGAATGCCATTATTTAACAGTATGGAATATATACATTTCCTAAATTTCAAAGTCCCTTCATAGTAATACCAGCCAGTCCTTACCCAGGGGTGCTTTTTATATTTATTTAGATCCCTTGTATTTTGACAGCTTTATTGAAAAGAAATTCCCTGTAACTAGTGAAAACACAACTTCAGACAGTGCTGGGAACTGCCAAAAGAAATAATTACACTTAATTATAAAACATCAGAAAATAACAAGTATTGGCAAGGATGTAGAGAAATTGGAACCCTCGTACATGGCTGGTGGGGATGTAGAACGGTGCGGCTGGTGGGGATGTAAAACGGTGCAGCTGCTGTGGAAAACAGCCTGGCAGCTCCTCAAATGGTTAAACATAGAGTCACCACGTGACCCAGCACTCCACTCCTAGCTATCGACCCCAAGGGAAAGGAAAATCTGCCTACACAAAACTTGTACACAAATGTCCTTAACAGCATTGTTCTTATAGCCAAAAGGTAGAAACAAACCAAAAGTTCACCAGTAGATAAACAGATAAAGTATGGTCTATCGTACAATGGAATATGATTGGGCCACAAAAAGGAATAAAGTACTGATATACATTATAACATGGATGATTCAATTAAAAGATTATTTTTTTAAAAAACTAAAAATAATTTTTAAAAACCCACAAGGACCTGCTATATATCCCTACTGTATAGCAGTAGAGATATATATGTATCTATAGATATACATGTATATTCTTTTTCAGATTCTATTCCATTATAGATTATTACAAAATACTGAAGATAGTTCATATATATACCTAACTGAATCACTTTGCTGTACACCTGAAACATTGTAAATCAACCACACTTCAATTAAAAAAAAAAGATTATAAAAAAATGGATGAATCTCAAAATCATTATGTTAAGTGAAAGAAGTCAGACACCAGAGATCCTATTGTAGGATCCCTTTTATATGAAACATGCAGAACAGGTACATCCACAGAAAGAGAAAACACATTAGTTGTTTCTTGGGGCTGGGGGAGGGGAGAGAATGAGGAATAACTGGTGTCCTTTTGGGGCAACAAAAACTGGATAGTGGTGATAGTTACACAACACTGCTACCAGATGCCACCAAAATGTCTCTTTAAAATGGTTAAAATGGTAAATTTGATGTTATGTATATTTTACTTAAAAAAAAAAAAGAAAAAAGAGGGAACAATGAAGTTAGACTCTTCCAGCCCCCAGGAGGGCCAGTGCCGTGCCCACAGCGGTCTGAGCTCTAAGTCAACAACACGGTCACTGGAAATGAGCTCTGCCCTCTCACCCCCTCCCCACCGCCCTCCCCAACCCTCCTCCCCACCCCGCCTCCCTGATCTGCTCTTCAGCCATTTATACACTCACCCTCAGTGCAAATACCACATTAAAAAGAATCATGGTGGGAGCCTCCCTCTTCGGAGATGGATCTGTTTTGGAGACCTGTGAAAGAGGCACAGTTCTAGTGAATGAGAGCCACCACCTCCCAAGAAAAGCACTTAGAGCTATTACTTCAGGCAGGGAAAGTGTTCCAGAATACAGCAGAACCAGAGAAAAACAGAGCCCTACGTCTCTGATAAGCGACCAGCGCCTTTGCACAGGCAAGTGCTGGCTGCATGGACAGACAGTCACAGTGGAGAAAGGAGCAGGAAGGTGCTGTGACCCAAAGTGACAAGACTGTCCCAGTCACCTCGAGTGAGCTGAGGTGCCCAGAGGAGAAAAGGTGGAGAGGTGCTCAAGTGGCTGGAGTGCTCCCTGAGCAGACCCTCCCTTCCCCACGCCAACCCCCGTGCCCACTTGAGTCCTCCCAGGCAGGACAAGTACTCAGGACAATGCTCCCACCCAGGAGAGACAGGGCTGCCGCTGGGGCACCCAGCCAGCCCAGGGCCCAAACACCAAGCTGCCTACAAGTGTTGCCACCAGAGGGCAGAGGAGTCCCTGGGCCATCTCAATCAGGCCTGTCACCATCCCTGTCCCTCCATGTCTCCAGGCCGGTACTGCCAAAGCTCCCCTCCATCACCCACAGCCCATCAGTGGGGCTGAGCCCGTCTGAGCAGCATAGGTGCCACCACAGCCGTCTCCTCAGCCACGGCCCCCTGCCCTGGTGCCTCCATGTCTCAGAAGCTCCTCCTGTGGGCTTAGTCATGGAGAAGATCCGAGGACCACAACCCAGACCCTCACGGGATTTCTGGATTGTGTAAGTGGAGCTAAGTCTTGTGCTGTCACATCAAAACCCTTCAGAATCTAAGTGACACTGTGTGCAAAGGACTGACTGGCAGCTTCTGGTGTGCAAATTCCCTTGGGTAACAACAGTGCATTCAGGCCCCATCAGAGAACGCATAGAGAGGGTGTGGCACAACAGTAAGAGCTAAATTAATAACAATATTGGCTATGATATCACTTAAGAAGAAGAAATGCTTGTACTACTTTATATAAAGTTCAAGAATCTGACAAACGCTGCTTAACTCGTTCTCTTGGCCTCCCCGCAGAAACCGGCATCATATCTACAAAGTAGAAGGCCACAGTCAGGAGAAAGGCTGGACGCAAACAGCAAAAGCTAAGGGCAGGGGCTGAGACACCAGGGCAAGGACGCCTGTGTCCTTCTCTGCCAGGCCCTCAGGGCCCAGGAGGAGGTGCAGCTAGGCAAGCACCTGATGGGATCTGCTGCACGGGGCTGCCTTCTACAGGCCCGCGTCAGCCCAGGGAGGGCGTACCTGGCCCAGCGCGTGCTGCAGCAGCGTCGGGTGCCCAACAAAACGCACGTTATCAATCTTCAGTTCAAACTTCTGCCCACACATTTCAGACTTGGTTGCCAAAATTGTTGCCAGAATGACATCTGAAAACCTTAAAATTAAAAAAAGGTAGAGTGGAAAAGAGTTAACCAAGTGCCACAGCACCAGACCTGCTGCCCCAGGGGTAGGGGGTAGCTGCGCGCAGGGTGGCTCTGCCCCCACTGCTGACCTGGAAGCTTCTGACAGTCTCCCTTCTTTTCTTTGGACATTGGAGATTTTTCCTTTATTTTTTATTTATTTATTTTTTGATGTGGACCATTTTTAAAGTCCTTATTGAATTTGTTACAATATTACTTCTGTTTTATGTTTTTGGTTTTTTGGCCCCAAGTCATGTGGGATCTTAGTTCCCCAACCAGGGATCGAACACGCACCCCCTGCATTGGAAGGCGAAGTCTTAACCACCAAGAAGTCCCTATTTTTTAGTTTATTTTTGGCTGCATTGGGTCTTTGCTGCTGTGCGTGGGCTTTCTCTAGTTGTGGCGAGTGGGGGCCTCTCCTCGTTGCAGTGTATGGGCTTCTCATTGCAGTGGCCTCTCCTGTTGCGGAGCACTGGCCCTAGGTGCGTGGCCTTCAGTAGTTGCAGCACGTGGGCTCAGCAGTTGTGGCACGTAGGCCCTAGAGCGCAAGCTCAGTAGCTGTGGTTCACGGGCTTAGCTGCTCCGCGGCATGTGGGATCTTCCCAGACCAGGGACCAAACCCACGTCCCCCGCATTGGCAGGCAGATTCTCAATGACTGCGTCACCAGGGAAGTCCCCCGACAGTCTCCCTTCTGAAGCAATCCCCAAGACTAGGGTCGCAAAGTCACCAGAACTACAAGGCGGAAGGTGCGTGCTGCCACCCTGGCCCCCGCCCACCTGGGAAGGCAGGAGGAGCAAGGCACCTGCCCGGAGAGGAGGAAGCTGCGGGAGCCTGCGTGGCTTGTCAGGCTGGGGGCCTCCTCAATGGCCCAGGCGTGCTGGGCTGCTCCCCTCAGCTCCCGGGACCCCCACCCCTCAGTGCTGTGCGAAGGCCGAGGGGAAGCACGAATTGCAGCGTATTGATCACTCTCCTCACAGCTCGGCTGCCGGGCCCTTCCCTTACCCTCAACACTTAAACCTTCCAGCTTTTATTAGGGAAGAAAGGTTCCAGACGCACTAGATGTGCAGACCCACTGACTGACATGGACGGAGGGATGGACAGGGCTGGACACCATGGAGGAGGAATGACTGGGTGCAGGTAAGAGCAGTTTGGATATGATCCCTGTAAAACTGCCCCTTTTCCAGGCTCTTCTGCACCTTTAGGTCTCCTTCCTGCCTGGGGGCCGGCGGGGGGGATCAGATAAGGGAGAGTCACTGCAGGGAGGAGAGGACAGTGCAGACTCTTATCTCAGAGCCCAGGCTCGGGGCCTCCACTCTGGAAACTCGGATGCACCGTGTCTAACCTGGAGCCAGAAGGCAGACAAGTCCTGTGCTCATTTCTCCACCTGGGAAAGCATCTCCATCATGCAGGTCGGAGGACAGGCTGTGCTGAGAGGGGCTCCAGCCTCCCTGGGGCCGCATTCTGTCCTAAAGAGCCCACCAAGGACAAACACTCAGCGTTGAGTCCTGGGCTTTCCCGAGGAGCTGTGGTGAACGGGCACCACACCAGATACTTCTCTCCAGGAGGCCTTGCTCTAGGGGGAGGGAAGCACTTCACACCAGAACCCTCGTCTTCAGAGAAGGGAAGGGTGCTGCACACTGCTGCAACTCCAAAACAGCAAACACCTCCAGGATAAACAGATCTAGGAGAGGGGCCACTGGCTCCTGGCTCGTCGCACACTGCAGGGCTCACCAACCGATGCAGGAGTGACTCGGAGCCACCTGCAGCAAGGGCCTGGCTACGCTCGACCTGCACCGAGCAAGACAAAGCCCGGGACTTCCCAAGCCTCTCCCCTTCAGAGGGTGGGGAGCCTGGGGGGGGTCACGCTGGTGTCCAGCCTTCCTCCAGGACTGACGTGGTCTTCTAGGCATCCTAAGTCGCCCTGTGGCTCCCAAACAAACCAGATGCAGAGGGTCTGTCAGAATGGGCTGCCATTCCACTTGCACAGTCTGGGCTGCGGTCAGACCTTCTGACACCGATACCATCAAAGACATTCTGGGACACGCGGCCCCCACAGCCAGAGCCCTTGGCCTCCCCTGTGGGTGTCTCCTCCCTGGAATACTGCTCCCTGGAGTGATTAAACCAGAGATGGAAGATTCCAGTGTCTTAGACCAGAATCGTTACATGCTTTCTTCAAAAGCCCCCAGTGGCTCACTCTGCCCAGGAAGCCACATCTGAGGGCCCAGTTAGGGTGACAGAGGGCCCAGCGTGGTGGAACCTAACAAACACTGCTGCCCTAGAGCCTGACCCAGTGCCAACACTACCCGCCCTATCTGAACAAACACCTCCCTCTACTCTGCCACCCACTGACTCAGGACACACCAATAACAGATAGAAAAACAACCTCCCGCCACCCCAGAGACTTCACTTTTTACTGTGATATCCAAAAATCTCCACCAAAAACCTCTGCTCTGCCACGAAGAGCCTCAGATGGGCCTGAGCCCTGGCCCTCAGCCACCATTCCAGGAACCTAAGTTAGTCGGGCTGTGGGATGGGGACTGAGATTCAGAGGCAAGAAGTGGTGGCCTAGCTCACGACTATAAATGTCCAAATCCAAAGGCCAAACAGAAAGCGCTTTCCCCGCTTGGGCCCAGAGAGGCCGGGGTCTCCAAAAGCAGCCAACCAGAAAGCCAGGTGCTGCTCAAGTTAAAAGCCACACTGCCCTAAGTGGCCACTCAGGGAGGTCCCTCTGCTGTTTGGCCACTCTGCTTGTCTGAGCAAGTCTGGCCCACAGAGAAATCCACTCACCAGAGCTTAATATTACACACTGATGACAGAAAAAACACTTGAGTGGCTTTATACTTTATACAGCATCTGCTGACACAACATGCACAAAGACAGCTATGTCCATCATGACATAACTGCCATAAATAGCAAATTGAAACAAAAACAAGTGTCAATGTTTGTTTGTTTGTTTTGGCCACGCCACGTGCCTTGAGGGGTCTTAGTTCCCTGACCAGGGATTGAGCCTGGGCCCTGGCAGTGAAAGCACCAAGTCCTAACCACTGGACCGCCAGGGAATTCCCTCAATATTTGTTTGTTGTTTCCAAAATTTAGAAAAATACTTTTCCCTTGTTTTGATGGTGAAAGGTCTGGTAAATATACTGTAACACAATAAAATCGCTGCTACAAAAACTAACATTTAGAGATTAAGAAAGAAAACACATTTAGAAAGATGAATCAGCCCAGCTGGAAGACAAGTCAAGACCTTCCATTCCTGCTGAGACACTTGGGAACAGGGCTTTTTCTCTGACCTGGCCAAAAAAAGAAGGGACAGCACGGAAGAGAGCTCGACTCTGCCCCCTCCCGTTCTGGGGGCTCCCAGATGCTCTGTGCACCTCCAACACCCAGGAGGTACGCCCTGTCGGGGATGGGAGGGCCCCACTGTATCCCTGCCTCCCAGAGAAGTGTCATATAAACCCCATGGGAACATTTTTGCCTCTAATGGGCACACACAACAGCATCCAAGCCCAAGCATCACACGGATGTTAGACAGTCACTGGTCATGCCAGAGGTCCCTGACACCCTTACACAAAGGGATACAATCCCCTCTTGGAAGTACATAGCACTATGGCAGGCATGGTGCCATGTCAGAGAACTGAGGGAAACCATACTAACGCACTGCATGGCGAGGGCCCAGCATGGGGACCTAAGCTACTTTCCCACAGACGTTACCTCACGCAGGACTGGCAATTTACAATCTTTTCTCCTTCATCTGGGCCTGAGTTACAATTCATTAAGCTTTAAAATGAACATAAGAAGGCAGAAGTGGTCATTTCTCAAGGCTGCCACCCAGAAAGCACTTCCCAGAGAGAAGAGGGGTAGCATGCACAGGAAGGAACAGGACCTGCCTTTCATCCGGGCCCTAAAAAGCAAGGGTCACGACAGCCCTGGCTCTCAGGCCACCTCACCACCTGGACAGGCTGTGCTGCACCCAAGCACCTACATTTGGCCTCTGGACACGTGCTTGACGACTAGGGTCTGAGGACAGCACTGCGATCTGCTGTCCTGCACGTTCCTCTCATGGGAGATAAATGTCCTGCAGGGACACGGCTTCATCTGTTCTCCAACCTGCCCTACCAACCACACAGCCCACAGCAGGACCATAAAGCCAAACTAGGCAGAAAGCCAGAGACTGGCAACACAATCCCCACCTCTGTCTGCCTGAAACCCCCGACCAAGTGGAAAAGAGAACACGGGGTTCCTCAGGGGAAAAAACATCTGGGTCAATGGGAGGACCAGGCCCGCCACGGAGTGAATGCAGAGCCCGTACCTGGAGTCGCCGTCCTGGTCCTCGGCATGCTCTCTGGTGCTGTTGACAGCGTATCTGCTACGAGGCTTACCTGAGTGAAGGCAAAAAGGGGAAAATAGCTAAGAAAACAGGATCCATCCACATACAGGAAGGTTGTTGAACCATTAAAAGTGATGGCTTCTGCTCTTGGATTGGAAGAACTAATATTGTTAAAATGGCCATACTACTCAAAGCAATCTACAGATTTAATGCAATCTCTATCAAATTACCCATGATATTTTCCACAGAACTAGAACATATAATCCTAAAATTTATATGGAACCATAAAAGACCCAGAATTGCCAAAGCAATCCTGAGTAAAAAGAATGGAGCTGGAGGCATAACCCTCCCAGACTTCAGACAATACTACAAAGCTACAGTAATCAAAACAGCATGGTACTGGGACTTCCCTGGTGGCCCAGTGGTTAAGACTCCATGCTTCCACTGCAGGGGGTGTGGGTTCAATCCCTGGTCAGGGAACCAAGATCCTGCATGTCACATGGCACGGCCACAAAAAAAAAGTTTTAAATTATAGTTTCCAAGAAGCTGTGATAACATGGGAAATGTTCTTGCTACTATGTTAAGTTAAAAAAAAAAGGGATTTTATATATATACGCACACATGCGCACACACACGCTCTCAGTGTATGCTGGCAACTAGGCTGGAAAAAGCACAGGTAAAAGAAAGAATTTTTAAATGTCCATACAGCAATATCCTTCATATACAAAAACAACAATATTTTACCCAAATAATAACATTTAAAGACTTAAGGACAGGGACTTCCCTGGTGGCACAGTGGTTAAGAATCCGCCTGCTAATGCTGGGGATACAGGTTCAAGCCCACATGACGTGGAGCAACTAAGCCCGTGCACCACAACTACTGACCCTGCGCTCTAGAGCCCGTGAGCCACAACTACTGAGCCTGCATGCCACAACTACTGAAGCCCGCGCACCTAGAGCCCGTGCTCTGCAACAAGAGAAGCCACTGCAATGAGAAACCCGTGCACCGCAACGAAGAGTAGCCCCTGCTCGCCTCAACTAGAGAAAGCCCGCACGGAGCAACGAAGACCCAATGCAGCCAAAAAATAAAGAAAAAAAAAAAAAAAGAGACTTAAGGACATTTATCACAGGCAAGAGGCCCAAGAAGAAAACAGAAATGCTAACAAGGGTGATGAGGATGAAAAGAGGACAGACTATGTTCCTGAATGAGAAGATTCAACATAAAGATCCCGTTTTCCCCATTTAATCACCATGTTTAATGTGACCCCCAAAACAATAGCAATGGCTTGGGAGTGGGATCTAACACAGTCACTGCTAATGTTTACAAGGAAAGCAAGCAGAAACACCAGGATGATGCTGAAGAAGAAAGGTGATGATAAATGATAAATGACTAATCCTACCTGATGGTATAACACACTATAAAGTTACAATAATTCATCTGTGTGGAACCCACACATAGATAGATTATTGGGAGAGGTAAGAAAAGTCAGAAAACAAACTCATATAAACATGGGAATTTAGTATGCCATGAAGGCAGCAAAACTAATCAGGAGGGCAACGTGAATGAGTCCATAAAATGATGCTGGGACTAGGCAGCCACACGGAAGAGAAAATTATACTGATTCTGAGCCAACCCCTCTCTAGCCGTGTGTGGGCCACATGTTCCCACATCTTTCTTCATCCATCTCAGCGCCTGCCCCACAAGGCTCCAGGAGGCAAATGGGGGCATACACACAGCTCTCAGCAAGTGCCCAGAAAATACCAGCTCCAGGGAGGAGCCTTCACCTTACACCAAAAGAAACACATTTTTAAAACAAGAAGATAAACATTCCACGGGAAAACATGAGAGACTCCTTTCGTTAATAATCTTGGAGAGCAGAAGCCTTTTCTATGTGTAACAAAACTCAGAAACCACTAAAGAACAGACTGAAAACTTGACTCCATAAAAATCAAAACTCAGAGGCACGGCTTCCCTGGTGGCGCAGTGGTTAAGAATCTGCCTGCCAATGTAGGGGACACGGGTTCGAGCCCTGGTCTGGGAAGATCCCACATGCCACGGAGCAACTAAGCCCGTGAGGCACAACTACTGAGCCTGCGTGTCTAGAGCCTGTGCTCCGCAACAAGAGAAGCCACGACAATGAGAAGCCCGCGCACCGCAATGAAGAGTAGCCCCCACTCGTCGCAACTAGAGAAAGCCCGCGCACAGAAACGAAAACCCAACACAGCCAAAAATAAATAAATAAATTTATTATTAAAAAAAAACTCACAGGCAAACTGGCTAAATATGTACAGCTTTGTCAAAAAGGTCTATTTTTATCCTAAGTATATAAAAAATTCCTTCAAATCTGTAAAGAAAAAAAATCAAGCAATCCAAGAGGAAATTAGGCAAAGGTTATGAATAGGTGGTTCACTAAAAAGGAAATCCAAATGGCTTTGAAAACAGGAAAACATGATCACTCTCAGCTGGAAGGCAAATGCCCATTAAAACTATCAGATACAATTTTTCACCTATCTCATTAACAAACATAGAAAAATCTGATCTATTAAAAATACATAGCGGAGGGGCTTCCCTAGTGGCACAGTGGTTGGGAATCCGGCTGCCAGTGCAGGGGACACAGGTTCGAGCCCTGGTCTGGGAGGATCCCACATGCCACGGAGCAACTAAGCCCGTGCACCACAACTACTGAGCCTGCGCTCTGGAGCCCACGAGCCACAACTACTGAAGCTGGCATGCCTAGAGCCCGTGCTCCACAACAAGAGAAGCCACCGCAATGAGAGGCCAATGCACCGCAGCAAAGAGTAGCCCCTGCTCGCCACAGCTAGAGAAAAGCCCGCGTGCAGCAACAAAAGACCCAACACAGCCAAAAATAAAATAAATTAAATAAATTAAAACAAAAAAACACAGCCGATCATCCCTTGGATATGAACACCCCATTTCTGTGAATTGATCATATATTCTGCAGAATGAAAATATATATCCATAAAGGACATTCACATTGTATTAGCAAAAGATTGGAAACAACTTAAATGCCCATCAACAGAAGACTGGATGACTAAATCACAGCAAATTCCTCCCATGATTCTGATAATTCTGAATCTATATCCAAGATGTAAAGTGAAAATGAAAACAGGGCAGAACAGTGTGAATTGTGTGCTCACTTGTGTTTAGAAAATAAAACAATGCATGTATATGCTTGTATTTACACAGAAGGTTTCGCAAAGATGCACAAGAAAATGGTAACAGCACCTGACCCTACAAGGGGATGTGGGTGGCTAGGATTGATGAAAGAACTTTCCTTTCATAATCTAAATCCATTTGTACCTTTAAAACTTTGTACCACAGTTAGAAATTTAAAAGTAATTTTTAGGGCTTCCCTGGTGGCACAGTAGTTAAGAATCCGCCTGCCACTGCAGGGGACACGGGTTCGAGCCCTGGTCCAGGAAGATCCCACATGCCACGGAGCAACTAAGCCCTCGCGCTGCAACTACTGAGCCTGCGCTCTAGAGCCCACGAGCCACAACTACTGAGCCCACGTGCCACAACTACTGAAGCCCGCGTGCCTAGAGACCGTGCTCCACAAGAGAAGCCACCACAATGAGAAGCCCGCGCACCGCAACGAAGAGCAGCCCCCGCTCGCCGTGACTAGATAAAGCCGGTGTGCAGCAACGAAGACCCAACACAGCCAAAAATGAAATGTATTTTTTTAAAAAGTAATTTTTTAAATCACATAAATTACAAATTGAACATTCATGATAGTGAAAAACTGCAAGTAACCTACACGTCCACCCATAGGGAAAGGGCATGTTCTTACCAGGTAGCTGTGTACAACCAAAAAGGGAGGTGATCTGTTTACTAGGTTGGAAAATGCTCCAAGGCAGATGGCCCAATGGAAAAAAGAGCGACTGAGAACAATACAGCTATGTGAGAGGGGGAAAAAACCCAAAGCAATAAACTATTTTTCTATGGAGGTATATTTGGTGTCTATGTACAGGAGGAACAATTATGAACATGGTAAGTGGTGATCCCTGCAAGCGAGGGAGGAGCAGCAGAACTGGGGGGAAGAGGTCAAAGAAAACTTCCGATGTACCTGGATTTCGTACTTAATCCAAGCTGAATACATTCATACGGTGCTTTAGCTCTTTTAAAAGGCCAGAGACACCGATGAAACGTTAGCAGGAGTGGCTTCGGCATGCTAAAACTATGAGTGATTTTTTTTTTCCCTGCTTCTTTTTACTTTTCTATCCTTCCCCAACACTCTGTGATGAGAAGGCACCGCCCGTACGATAAGAAGGAAAAAGGAAACGACTTCTCCGCTAACGGCGAGGGAGGCGGCGCCAGGCCCTCCGCCCGGCGCCCACTTACTTGTCTGGGACGCCGGGTGCTCCTGGCTCCTCTGGAAGGGGTACCTGAACAGCAGCTTATTGCCCCGGCTCCCCGAGCTCACCAGAATCACGCTGATGGGGCTGGTGTTGTCCCCCATCCCGCCGGGGGCCTGGGGAGGGGTCGGGCCGGGGCCAAGGCCGGGACGGGACGGGGGTGGGGGGCGGTGGGGACCCCCAGGTGGACGGGCCGGGGACGCGGAACAGAGCGCTCTAAGGACTGGTTGGGGGCGGGGGCCGAGGGGAGCCAAGCAGACGTCTCCCGCGCGACAGTGACGCAAACCAGGCTCCCCCTAACGCGGCCGGCAACGCTCGCGAGATTCGCGCAACAGCACGGGGCAAACGCGCATAAAATGCTTGCGCGCGGACCGAAGGCGTTTGCGCAGGCGCAGGCTGCCGTGTGCGCAGGCGCGAGGCCGTCTCTGGGTGCTGTGCTCGTGCGCATGCGGGACGCGGCCCCTTTGTGGAGTGGGGAGAAGAGCCAGCGGGAAGGCTAGCGGGACTGTGTGGCTGGGTTAGTCGTACGGTTCAAGGAATCTTTCTCTAAATGTTGCTTTATTCGTTATAAAAGGAACACTTGCTTTGGGCAGAAAGTTCTTTCTTAGAAACATAAAGGACTAAAATAAAAAAGTAAAAAAAAAAAAAAATTACTTCAGTGGATCACGGACCTAAATGTAAGAGCTGACTCTGTAAAACTCTTAGGAGAAAACACGGGGGTTAAGTCCTCGTGACCTGGGGCTAGGCAGAGGTTTCTTAAATACGACACCAAGTGCACGAGCAACCGAAGAAGAAGTTAATTGTCCTGAATAGAGTTGCGAAATTTTGTGCTTCAAAGGACAAGACCAACAAAGTTAAAACAGCGCTCACGAGCCGTGAGAAAATGTTTGCAAGTCATATATCTGATGAGGGAATTGTATCCAGAATATATATATTTTAAACTCTTACAACTCTACAAGAAAAAGACAAGTAGCCAACTGAGAAGTGGGCAAAAGATGTGAATAGATATTTACCCAAGGAATATAGACAAGTAGCCTGGAAGTACGTGAAAAGATGCTCAAACATCATTCCTCGTTAGAGAAACGCAAATCAAAACCAGAAAGAGAACACATCACACCCACTAGGATGGCTATAATCCAAAAGAAAAATGACAAGTGTTGGTGAAATTGGTATCTTGAGACACTGCTGGTGGGAATGTAAAATGATGCAGCTACTGTGGAAGACAGCCTAGCAGTTCCTCAAAAGGTTAAACATAGAGTACCCAATAAAATTAAAACATACATCCATTCAAAAACTTGTACTGTGTTCATAGCACCACTATTCATAATAGCCAAAAAGTGCAAACAACCCAACTGTCCTCCAACTGATGAATAGGTGAATCCAATAAGGTATAATCTATGCAATGGAACAGTATTCAGTCATAAAAAAGGAACAAAGTACCGATACATGAGTGAGCCTTGAAAAAATAGATACTGTATGATTCCATTTATATAAATGTCCAGAATAGGCAAATCCTTAGAGACAGAAAGTAGATTAGGTTGTCTGGGGCTGGGGTAGTTGGGGGGGTGTGACTGCTAATGGGGATGGGGTTTCTTTTGGGTGATGAAAGTGTTCTAACATTGTGGTGATGGTCACATAACTCTCTGAATATACTAAAACCCGCTGAACTGCACACTTTGAATGGGTGGAATGTATGATACGTGAATTCTATCTCACAGTACAGCTGTTTTTAAAAAGTAAAAAAAAATCACCCCACCCACCCCATCCCAGTCTTCCCCCGGAGATTACTGTAGTGAACAGTCTACTGCAACTGTTTCCAAATCTTTTCAAGCACATCAGATGCATGAGAAAGTAACCAATGGGCTAAGGAATGAGATTTTCATTGCCAAAGTAACCTCTTGCACTGAAGATGACACAAACGTGTATTTTGCAGGACAGATTCATGGGTTGAATCTGCCAGGATAACGGGTACATGCATCTGAAATGTCTTAGACGTTGCCCACCAACATATTGCCCTGCCCAGGGCTGCATAGCATGGACTTTATTTTTTCCCAAAATTTCAAAAAAAAGGAAATAGTGTGTTATGTTGCATTTTTTTATTACTGAGGAGAAGAACTAACTGTATCACTTGATTATTTGCCAGAGCCTAAGAATTGCCTTCATGTTTCCTTTTGGTTTGTTTGTCCTTCTTTGATGTATTTTTATTTTGCGAGGGTTAGTTACTCTCTGTTACAGATTCTGCAAGCCTTTTTCCCAGTCTAGAATATATTGATTTTATGTATCATCAAAAGTTTTCTGAGTTCTCCCCCAGTTCCCATGAATGTCCCCAGAATGGAGACAAGGGCACAGGAGCAGTATGTGAGGTTGGGAGAGCTGGGTAGATGGGCTAGCTGTGGTAATGGGGGCCTCCCCACGGGGGTGCTGGGAATCTGCGGGTGCCCAGACATAAGAACCAGGACTCTGACTCAGGCCTCCTTCCTCCGACTTCCCTGGACATGCTGCTGCCCCATTGGATGGTCCTATGGCCCCAGAACCTGGCTGTCCTTGGGCTGGGGGAAGGCCCAGACATGGAGAAACCATCATTCCTCAATTACCCACTCAGGGCCCTCTCCCTGCTAGCAACCTTCACAAAAGTATCCATTGTTTATTTTTCTGGCTGTGTGGCTAATGTCTTTTTATTGTAACAAGCACTGGAATCCATGAATGGTGATGGGAGCTCACCAGGATCCCCGCTCCCAGAGGTCCTGGATACAACCCTTCCCAAGGCCCAGGTGCAGGGCTGTCGGAGGGCTGGACTGGAGGAAGCGGGGTCCGAGTCCCACATCACCTTCACTGGCAGTATCTCAGTCCATGTCTGTCTGTCTGTCTGTCTGCCTCACTGGGCTGTTAGGGAAACCAGGGCTCATGGTCACTCCCTGGCCAATCCAGCCTGGTGCCGGCAGCCAGAGGGACCGAGGGTAGGCTGGCCCTACTTTGCGCCTCAGGTTCCTCACCAGTAACAGCAGTGGGAACAAATGGTCTCCTGAACAATGATGTGCCCAGGCCCAGCCTCTGCTCACTGCAGGGTATGTCCTCAGACTCCTCCCTGCCAGCACCCCACACGTCTAAGTCCTCATTTTAAATTTAAATAACTCTCTTTAGTAACCTGCTTTTTGGAAGGTAAGTGGATTCTTGGAAACAGAAACTCTTGACCTTTCCTCCCAGCCTGGGTTCTCCCCCCACTCCCCGGGGCAGGGCCAGGAGGCTCCTTGGACGGCCAGGCCTTATCAGTCCTGCCACTTGGTCTGGGCCTGATAGAGCCACCACAGACTGCCAGAGGGCCAGGCGGGGCTCACAGACCCTATCTCAGACCCACCTTGACATCTCCACCATCTCTGCCCAGAAAGAATCATTCACCTACAATAGGAACCACAATAATCTTGAATTCATGCTGCTGTGTCCCAAGGTCACATGGTGACAGCTTATCCCTCTTAAGAGTGTGGTGGAGGCTATTCTAACCCCCACCCGAGGTTAAACCAGGGAAACTGGGGCTCACAAGGTACCTGACCCTGCCCAGGGTCACCTGGGGCTGCTTTTGGGTGAGGGTATGCAGATACCTCCTCCGTCTTCTGCTGAGACCAGGGCCCTCTGAACTCAGGCCCAACTGCACAAGCTCAGAACAAGCCTGGGGCTTGGAATTCGGCCCAGAGGCCAGCAGGTTTCAGCACCCTGAAGTCCTGCACAAGCTCAGGCTCCTCTTGTTTCAGGCAGGGAATGCAAGGCCCAGAGACAGAAGACCTTGCCCACAACAAACCTTGGTCTCCTCTGCCCACTGGGGCTGGTCCCCCTCTACTGAAACTGAACGTGTTTCGTAACCTTCCCAAGCCTCTGTTTCCTTATCTTAAAACATGTCATGATAATAAAATAAAACTTCTCTCACAGAGCTGTGAGGGTCAAATACCCAACATGAGGAGTATCGGTCTATGCCCAGGACTTAGAAAGCACTTGGTAAATGTTAGCTAGGGCCACACAACAGACCTTACCTCACACCACACAAAATCAGTCCAAGGTGGACTGTTGCCCAGCTCAAAGGACCAAACAGTAAAGTTCTTAGAAACGTAATACAGAAGGTTCACTTCACTGAAGCCTTCAGTCCAACGCTTATTCCACTTGCTTAAAAAACTGAGGTAAAATTTGCACAACGTAAAATTAACCATTTGAAAGTGAACAGTTAATTCGGTGACATTTCGTATATTCGTAATGGATGCAACCATCATCACTAACTAGTTCCAGAATATTTTCATCATTCCCCATCCTCCCCACTGCCCTCCCCGCAGCCCCTGGCACCCACTCATCCACTTCCTGTCTCTTTGGATTTGCCCGTTCTGGATGCTTCATATAAGTAGAATCACACAATATGTGGCCTTTCACGTCTGGCCTCTTTCACTTAGTATCATGTTCTCAAGGTTCATCCATGTCAGGGTGTGTTGGTGCTTCATTTTTATGGCTGAATAATATCTCATTGTACGGAAGTATCATGATTTGTTGATCCATTCCTCCACTGATGGACATTTGGGTTGTTTCCACCTTTTGGCTGTTGTGTATAGAAAGGTACAACACTTTTTTTTTTTTTTGCGGTACGCGGGCCTCTCACTGTTGTGGCCTCTCCCGTTGTGGAGCACAGGCTCCGGACGCGCAGGCTCAGTGGCCATGGCCCACGGGCCCAGCCGCTCCGTGGCATGTGGGATCCTCCCAGACTGGGGCACGACCCTGTGTCCCCTGCAACGGCAGGCGGACTCTCAACCACTGCACCACCAGGGAAGCCCGAAAGGTACAACATTTTTAAACCCAATTTTAAAAATCACTAAATTTTATTGCATTAAAATTATAAACTTCCATTCAAAAACAGTGCTAAGAGCATGCAGGCAAGGTACAGACCTGGGGGATATAAGACACGTGAAACTGACAAGAACTTATATCCAGAATATTTTTAAAATTCCTATAAATCAATAAGACTGGCAACACAGTAGAAAAATGGCCATGACTTGGAAACTTCAAAAAAGAGGAAATCCAGGGCTTCCCTGGTGGCGCGGTGGTTGGGAGTCCGCCTGCCGATGCAGGGGACACGGGTTCGTGCCCCGGTCCGGGAAGATCCCGCATGCCGCGGAGCGGCTAGGCCCGTGAGCCATAGGCCCGCGTACCGCAAAAAAAAAAAAAAAAAAAAAGAGGAAATCCAAAGGACAGCAAATATGTGAACAGGGGCCCAAGCTCATCA